TAAATTCATAATGTACATCATTCTGATTGAAGCTAAGGGCATACAAAACTGTCTAACAATTGACTACTTGGAAACTTTTGCACCAGTAGCAAAGATGACCACTATCAGAGTCCTATTATCTCTTGCAGCTAGTTATTCTTGGCCGTTGCATCGGATGGATGTTAAAAATGCGTTCCTCAACGGAGACTTGCAAGAAGAAGTTTACATGCAGTTGCCTCTTGGATTTTATGATACAAAGACGGGAAAGAAGGTTTGTCAGTTGAACAAAGCCTTGTATGGACTAAAACAATTCCCTAGAACTTGGTTTGATAGATTCAGACGAGCCCTTGAAAGGTTCGGATATGTGCGGGCCTAGTCAGACCACACCTTGTTTTTTAAGAGAGTATATTCTTCCTTAACCTTGCTTGCTGTATATGTGGACAATATTGTAGTAACAGGGAGTGATATTAGTGAGATTGAGTCCCTTAAGCAACTCCTTCATCAAGAGTTTGAGGTAAAAGATCTGGGAGAACTACGATACTTCTTGGGCATTGAGGTAGCTAGGTCCAAGCATGAGATTTTTGTTTCTCAAAGAAGGTATGTTCTTGACCTGTTGGAAGAAACAAGAAAGTTGGGTGTTAAGCCTGCTGATACACCTATTGAACAGAACCACAAGATCAGTGCAGAGGGTGGAGAGCCTCTTGAAGATAAAGCTATGTTCCAATGGTTAGTTGGAAAACTTCTCTATCTTTGTCTCACACAACCCAATATCAGTTATGCAGTCAGTGTAGTTAGTCAGTATATGCACTCTCCTAGAACTACTCACCTCCTTGCAGTTGAGAGGATATTAGCATATTTGAAGAGGTGCCCAGGCAGAGGCATTTTGTTCAAGAATAATGATCACACGAAAATAGAAGTTTACATAGATGCTGATTGGGCTGGGTGTGTTGATGATCGAAGATCTACCTCTGGATATTGTGCTTTTGTAGGAGGTAATCTTGTCTCTTGGAGGAGTAAGAAACAAAGTGTTGTTTCTCGTTCCAGTGCTGAAGCTGAATATATGTCCATGGCAAATGGTGTGGCTGAGATTCTATGGTTGAGATCGTTATTTGAAGAGTTGGGTATTGTTTATGAGAAACCCTTAATGTTGTATTGTGATAATCAGGCTGCCATTAATATAGCCCATAATCCAGTACGACACGACAGAACTAAGCATATTGAAGTGGACCGACATTTTATCAGAGAGAGGGTTACATCTCAAGAAGTATGCCTTCTGTATATCACCTCCGACATGCAGCTTGCAGACCTTCTTACCAAGGCTGTTTCAAGAAAGAAGTTAGAGGAAGATCTATGCAAGTTGGATGACAAACATCTATTCCCAACTTGAGGGGGAGGGTAGAAAAAACTAATGTGGACCCCACATTACTGTGTTTGTATGACAACAATAAGTTATGATTAGGATTAGTCTTTTAGTTATGTTTATCTTATCTTATCTTATCTTGCCATGTAAGTAGATCAGTCCTTTTACAATTATGACACTATATAAATTTAAAGAGTGGGGCGGCTGCTTCAACAACAACCCACTCTCTCTTTCTCAGAAATCTCTCCCGTGCTCTCTCTCCTTCCCTCTTCTCTTTCTTTTCTTCTTCTCTTTTAGTTTCTGTTCAAAACCTAAGACTAGTTGCAATCTTGTATGATTACTCACCTTAATGCAAGTACTTATTTATAAAAAGGATGATTTTGTTGTCCAAATACCCTAGTTAGAAAACCAGGACATTAATTTAAGTGGTTAAAGGAACTTCTGACCCTGCTCTTTTCTCTCCTCACAAAGAGGGAGGAAAAATTCTTTGGTGGTGCACAATGGCTGTCATTCTGTAGAGCAGATGGAAAGAAATAACCATGTACCTAGTACAGAGAAACTATATGTGCATATCTATTTTGTTTGAGGCCTACTATCCAAACTATAAGTCTTGATTATGTGGAGCACATAGGAAGAAAGAAACTTTAGAATATTCACAATAAGAGAAATTATGTCAGCATCCTCAGTGACCTAATGGTCCTAATCACTATAAGAGTAGCACACTTGGTGCTCACAAGAGAAGAGTTCTGTGAGGTTACAGTGGATGCAATATCTAGGGGCTTACATGGTTCAGATAGATAGCTAGTACAACAAGCTTGGGAACTTCCATCAGTGGGTAGGCTTGATTTTAATTTTGATGGCTACTCTCTTGGTAACCCAGGCCCTTCCAATCTGGGGTGCCTATAGAAGAGAAAATGGAGGGATAATTCCACAAGTTGCTAGACCCATAGGAGAAAGGAATGTCATTCAAGCAGAGATGGCTTCTATTCTTCAAGGCCTAAAACTAGGTTTTGATTTAGGATTGAAAATATTTTAGTGGAAAGCAACTTCAAGTAATAATCAGATGGATCACTTTAGGTGAGAATGGACATGTACTAGGCACATTATTAGAGAGGAAGGTTCTTGGAATGAACTGCTTGTTCTATTAGTCTCCAATGTCAACCTATGCATTGGTGGATGCCATTGCATGGAAAGGGGTAAATAGGCAGAGTCTCCTTTGGGTAAGTCTTGGAATCTGGTTGATTGTTTGTATTTCTCTTTTTTGTATTAATACTGTGTCATGGCTTTGGTCGGTATTGACTATTGAGTACTGTACTTTGTATAGTTCTCGTAGTATTCAAAATTTCAAATATAAAGAGGTTCCTTTTTCCATTACCTCATAAAGAAATCTCTTTGGTCTATAGTTGATAAAAATTTATTTGCCATTTGATGGTTAGGACTTATTTCAACTATTTCACCCATTAGCTTTTACATGTGTTGCTGTTGCTGATTCCTATTTTCTTTTCCCAATTTTTGCCCCTTAGACTGTAAAATAGTAGTTAAGTTGAATAGTTGGATAGCTGGGACTATCCAATTTGTACACATTAAGATTTCTTAGGTGGTAACTATTATGGTGTTATTGTATTTATTAACAGACATCTTGACATAAATAAGAAAAGAAGAAAATGAAAGAAATAACCCAAAAAGAAGCAAGAGAGGAGGGAAATTGAATAATATTTTTATGAACATTTTGGGAGGAAAGGAATGCAAGAATTTTCAATGGAAAGTGTAGACCAAAATAAGAGCTGGCGGAAACTAAAAAAGATAAAAGTTGCTCATTGGGTGAAAACACTTGAGCTGTAACAAAGCTTCTCAGTGGCTGAGATCTTGCGGGCTTGGAAAGAAGTGGCCTTTTCAACTAAGAAGAAAGAAAAGATAGGGATGGAATGGAAGCCCTTGGCTCCAAATAAAATAAAGATGAATTTTGATGGCAGCTCCATAGGAAACCCGGGATTGGCTGGATTAGGGGGTGTGTTCAGAGACTCTGCAAATAAAGTGCTGGCTATGTATTCAGGGCCTATAGCCATAGGGCTTGGAGACTCAATAAAGGCTGAGCTTCATGCACTTCTGCAGGGGTTAAAACTACTCAAACAAACAGATATTAAAGACTTGGAAGTTGAAGGAGATTCAAAACTGGTGATTTCTTGGTCAAATTTCAGAGGTAATGCCCCCTGGATTTATAGACACTCCTTGCAAGATAGTGAAAGTTTAGCAAGGGAGCTCAATGCCACTTTCACTTGGATCATCAGGACTGCAAATGGCATGGCTGATGCGCTAGAAAAACAAGGAGTTTACAGACAGCATCTTTTCTGGGCCATTTTGTAATTTTTCTTGTAGCTCTGTCTGTAATAATCTGCCTTTCAAATTAATAAAATTTATTCTTATTTACTGATAAAAAAAACAAAAAGATGGATTATATGGAGGCAACGAGAATTAGGGGATGCATTGACCCAAGGGGTTGGGGACTCACTAACCCAATAATGATGGGACTAACACTCATGCGGGAGAGGACTCTCTTAACTCTCAAAGGAAAGCTCTTGGTTTCACAAAACAAAGGTAAAACGCAGATGCCTCTTGCTTGAGATTACATGGCTTTAAAATATAGAGGAAAATATAGCTATTTGAGCATTCAAGCCAAAACTAGTTGTTGGACATCCACTACTAAACTAGCTGTTAGAAGCCTACTAACAGAGTAGTTTTTTTTTTTTTTTTTTGATAAATTGCTAACAAAGTAGTTAAAAACCCATTAAACAAAATAGTTGTTGGAAGTGAGAAGAAAAGGTTTAAATGGTTGACCAAGGATATGGAAGTGAGCGTGCAATGTACTAGACAAGTGCCAATTCCTTTGCATGTTTTGGGAAGCAAGGAGTGGGAGAGAAAATATGTTTTGGGCAAAGTTGTAAAAAGTAAATTGCTTGAGAAGAGATAAGAGAGTTGATTTCTCAGTCCTTGTATTATTATCCTGTACACACTCTTTTTCTTATTTAATGAAATTTGCAGTTATTGACAAAAAAAAAACAGAAAACTTGTTGGAAGCCCACTTTTGAGTATAAATGTAGTCCCATTTGTCTTCTCCTTCAAATATGATTTGATACTTCTTGGAACATAATTTTAAGCTGCATCACATCTATTATATTTATTACCCAGAACATAGAATGTTGGGGCCCTTGGGGCTTAACTATTTCTATGTACTTAGATCCTATCCTAACTCTAGTCCTAACAACTGATCCCTTGTCCTTTGCTGCTTCATGAATCATTTGCTAATATGATGGTTGGGGGTGCAAATTGCACCCCTAAGCCTAACTGTAGTTGATAGATATACCACCTAGCTCAAGCATAATTGAGTGAAAGTGATATTTCTGTCAACTACCAAGCTATAACCATCCAAATTTTAACAAACGCTCAACTTGAGCCCTTCCAAGTTGCACCCTTAGTGATGATAGTTTATGTTGCCATAATTTATCTGCTTCATAACTTTATAAACACTCAACATACAGATTTCCTGCTAATTCAGGTTCTGTCCAGTAAATTTTCTTCACAGTTTGTTTTATTGTATTCTTTGTTTAATATTAAACTTTAGGCAATGGTATCCAATTCTGATCATTTTTCTATTCAATGGCAGTGGCACTGGAGCTTTGGCCATTTTTTTGCGGAAGTCATTTGGAGTTGACATCACTACTTCAGACTTTGATGACGAGGAAATAGAAAAGAACATAGCACATAATTGCAGGGTCAATGGAATAATTCCTGCATTGCCCCACATCAGACGTAATGCACTTTCTGTTGGAGCTTGCTTTGTGTTTTTTAATTACTGCCATTTAAGAGGAGGAAACCTATGGGTTGCCTAGACCACAGACTTGCCTGCTATTATAATAATAATTGTTGCTGCCTGGAATGGGCCAAGGGCAACAATGTAAATTCACTTCCGAGACGAGGGCTGGCTGATGAGTCTGAGGGCTCTGTGGGAGCCGAGGGCCTGTAAGTCCGACCTGTGAAGGAAGAAGCATGTCAGAGGCCCCGGGTGTGATCCCAGGGGCGGAGACTCCAACGGTCAAGTTAGCAAGGGTGTAACGAGGTGGGTGGACGAGGCCTGAGTAAGGTAGCTCAGACGAAGTCACCAGGAAGCTTGAGAGCTGAGAGCAATAAATGCCAGGATACCTTACCTCATGGTGATGCCACCTATTTATACTTGAACCTGCCTGGAGTTAGTAACGAGTGGACGGCCAGGATGCAATCTTCCTTGTGCTGCACATCGCCATCTGAGGACGCCACGTGTCTGCGCACCATTGGGCCTGCCATGTGCACCTACTTCAATAATAATAAAATAAATAAAATAAAAAGGTGGATTCCTCAAAGGTTCAAACTGCCTTGTTATGGACCCATATCTGCCTATCTGCCTGTACACTGTTATAAATTGCTTCTGTATGGAAGACCATGACTTAGATTCTCTGTTTACAGGATTTTTTTTTTGGTAGAACTTGGTGCTTGTATTAATAATGTCTTCTTTGCTCTTTTATTGCTTTATGCAATATTTCATATTAATATTGTAACATTTTTTTGTCTATAATAGACACATGGGGAGATGCCTTTCCATCAACTGACCCAGATTGGGACCTGGTCATTGCTAGTGATATCTTACTATGTAAGGTTTGTTGCTTGATCTCATATTGGCATCTACCTAACTTGCATGTTAGAAATTTGGAGAGTTTATTTGAAATTCAAAATATAGGGGCCATTTGTTATTGCTAAAACCTAGGGCTAACAAGCATGAGAATGCAGGTTTTGAGTCTGAGAGTGGCCACTATATGCACAAAAAACAAGAAAAAAAAAAGCTGAAGATTAGGTCAGTTAGGTCCATAACCAGTCTATATCTCCCAAGACCCTAGATAACCATGAGCATCACTGGGTAATAATGGCCTTTTTATTCAAAATTCAGAATATGTTTGAGTTAAGGTGGTGTATCTATCAACTACCTGATGGATTGCCAAACTTTAATTAGATATGATCAGTCACTAGGCTCGGCTCCAACATGACAGGGGCCAGGGCCTCATGAAATCTGAGGCAATTTCGATCTTTCTAAATTCCATAACTTGCTGGAAAATGCATTTTTTTTTCTGGTTATTGTTTAACACTCCTCTTTTTTGCTTTTTGTAGATGTGAAACAGTACCCAAACTTGATAAAGACACTGTCATTCCTCCTCAAGTCTTACAAGCCAAAAGATGAGCAAGCAATACCTAGAATACAAGATAATCAGCCTGGTACTATTCTGGTTGATTAGCAAGTCAAATTAGTTATTTGGCTGATATTTGTCCTTTTGCTGGCAGGAATAGACAGGAGGTTACATTGGCCAGCATTCTTAATGAGTTGGAGACGCAGGATAGGGAAGGAGGATGAAGCACTCTTCTTCAATGGGTGTGAGGATGCTGGTCTTGTTGTAGAACATGTTGGTTCACGTGTATACTGCATCAGCCTTAGGGAGAGTAGTACCATGGAACTGCAAATAGCCAGTAAGGCTGATGTCCAGATGGGCCACCAATGAGTCTGTCTGTGTACGTGATTAAACAATTTCATTCATGTATCATTGTTATCATCATCATTATTTTTCAGTTGAACTTCTTAGAATCAAGGTCAAGAAAAAAATCTTAAATTAGTAATGAATCTTTTTGTTTTTGGTAAAAGATTAGTCATGAATCTCTCTTTAATCAGTTCATTCTATTTATGATCTGCTCATCCATGAAATATAACTCATGCAACTAGTAGGCTGGTTATTTTCAAGTCCATGAGCTATCAAGCTCTTAATTATTATTTTTAGTGTAAATTTCACTAACCTCCCCTGTTTTTTTGAACTCCCTGGTAACCCGTTTTCATATCATGTTTGTATAACGAGGTTAAAGGTACATCATCACATGACCTGTAATATGTTGGCTATGTATCATTTGTATGTATAAATTATAATATATGTGCAACCATGAATATGGTAGTTGGTATTTATGCATGTCCTAGCTGCTAAGTAAGATTCCAATCTAAACCCAACCTGATCTCATGATCTGGTTGAGTTAGGTTTGAAGATTGGACTGGTTTAGGGTTAGATCTGTGTAGGAGAGTTGTTAACTAAGGGTGACTACTGATTACGGTAAGCATGGAATGATTGCAGCAGTGATCTATCTATTATGAGAACTCCGTTAGGCCTATCCATCCTCCCATTTCAGAATTCTGAAATCCAGGTCAGCCTATACAGAACTCAAAATTGCATTTAAATTCAACTTTTTCAATCTTAAGACAGATTCCCACGCCAACTCGGATTTCTCTTATTTTTGTAATTTCAAAATTACTAATTAACCTGTGAGGACTAAAATGATCCTGATGGAACCCACTGTTTAGATCTCTCTCCGTCTCTCCCGCTCTCCCTCCTCTTTCGTTATCTCTCCCACTCTCAACTCTCCTGTTCCTGCAACTTTCTTCCTCCCAAACCCAGAACTCCTCTTTCGCTTTCGCTCTCCCGCTCTTCCTCTGTTGTAACCGCTTTCGTTTCTACCGTTTCTCTCATCCGCTTCGACGATACGGGAGGAGGCAGAGATGTTTGTCTCGTTAGTGGACATCCAACCATTATAGATATATAAATGAAGAAACGATTCTAACATAATATTATACGTGTAGTTCATCGATCGCTTGAGCTTTAACAGGAGGGGAACTGTCGTCGTGACAGATTCCATTTTGTTTCCTATGAGTTTGGATCCTCGCGAGCCGTTGCCATCAGCTGCAACATTCTTGAAGCTGAATTCTTCGTTCCCGTTTCTAGTTCCGTTTGCCACCATCTCCTCTCAGCAACCTTGTTGTTGGTTGATCAACAAATATAAAATCTCAGATACTCGAACAAGCGAAGAACATCCTCAAAGAATATATACATAGGAGGATTCAAATAGAGCATCACAAAAGTATAGAAAAAAATATAGACAAATGACTTAAAAAATCTCAAAAAATTCGGATTTTTTAAAAGCTAATATAATTTAGAGATAAGTTTTTCATGTAATTTTTTGTTTCATATGCAACACAACACTATCTAGTACTTGTCAGACATTATAAAATAGTTGTGTATGGACTTCTCGCATATGAGCGTTGAAGTTTTAAAGGTTTGGGCCATATACAAGGATCTAGATAATTTACTCGTATTAATTTCTCTGTGAAATGTTCTCGATCGATGATGGCATTGTTATTTCTGTCAGAGGTTTCTGAGTTCACGTAGAATTCTTCTTTAAGTTCAAGGCAAATAAAATTTAAAACAATAAAACCACCAAAAACCAGAGGAACAAATCCAGAGGCTTTACAATGCAACATGTTGAAATTGAGACAGATGATTATGCTCCCAAAGATATAGGAGGGGGGTGATTGACAGAGCTCATCAAACAGAAACGAAAGCACAGGAATAGGATTAACAGGGAGGGAGCTCACCAGAAAGGCAGAAACTGGAAGCTGGAAACAAGAAAGAAGAACAAAATGACACCCTAAAGCAAATGAAAAACGGAAGGGGAAATGGAGTAGATGTCCACCATTCGATTTCAGTAGAGGGAAGGCTTCCAATAAAGCGGACGGGAAGGGTGCGAAAATAGAGTTGTGACTAGTGAGCACTCCCTTTTAAAGCCATCTACTAACCCAAGTTTAACCCAACTCCAGCCCAATGCTCCGAAACCATTGTAACCATGGTTAAATCCTAACACATTTGGGATTGAGCCCAAGGATCAAAACGGTTAGATACACGTATAATATTATGTTTGAATCGTTTCTTCATTTATCTACAATGGTTGGACGTCCACTAATGAGGCAAACATCTCTCCCTCCTCCCGTATTGTCGAAGCGGGTGAGAGAAACGGAAGAAACGGAAGCAGTTACAATAGACGAAGAGCGTGAGAGCGAAAGCGAAACAGGAGTTCTGGATTTGGGAGGAAGAAAGTTGCAGAAATAGGAGAGTTGAGAGTGGGAGAGACAACGAAAGAGGAGGGAGAGCGGGAGAGCCGGAGAGAGATCTAAACAGTGGGTCCCATCAGGGTCATTTTAGTCTTCACAGGTTAATTAGTAATTTTAAAATTACAAAAATAAGAGAAATCCGAGTTACCGTGGAAATCTGTCTTAAGATTAAAAAAGTTGAATTTAAATGCAATTTTAGGTTCAGGCTGGCCTGGATTTCAGAATTCAGAAATGGATTTATCCGTACTTTTCCCTTCTTTAACCACCACCCTCAACAAAACCTTAACTACTCTCTTTTTAGGAGGTGGGGATCGGGAAGTCAGTGGTTGGGAATCTTTGCACAGTTTCATTAAATTCTTGAGTTTTTTGGGGAAGTTCACTAAGGGGATGTTTGGTTGGAAGAATCAATTTGCTAATTCCAATCTATAAAATTGCAACATCTGGTTCTCAGAATCTGTGAAAAATTCATTTGGTATGATTCCTCAAAAATCACTAGTGGAATCAGTTAATCCTGATTTACATGATTTAGGTGATGCTGGAAGCACCGGGAGACAGGGCTGTTAGAGGATTGGATCTGGTTTGGGACAGGGATGGAATCATGTATAAATCAGGACAAATAAACATGGTGTTTGGAAGCGTGGATGCTTTTTGGGACCGATTTTCAAGAAAAAATGCCCATGCTTCTAAGACCGGTTTTTCACAAAAAAACGCTTCTGCCATATTGGCAGTGAGCAACACTATGCTGTTTGGTAAGGTGATTTTCATCACCATTTTTCATTTATGTGCCGACAGGTAAGCACCACATAGGATATACATCAGTCAATGTTGGGGGAAACGGTTCACCGATGCATGAAACGCCAAATTTGGCATTGGCGTTTCATGTATCGGTGGGGTCCCGACTTTTTAGGCATACCCGATTTTTTAATAATCGGCTGAACCAAACAATGAGATATATGGGCATTTATTAAAACGCCTATGTGGATCTAGTGTGACACCGTTTTTTTGAAAAATGGCCACGATTCCAAACATCCCCAAAATGATAGATCCAAAACCATCCCGACTATTAATTGGGATAATTGGGTCTAACCCAATTATAGTGGCATCTATAATTATCTATATCAATGTATTTAGATACACTTGGATACACTAATACATAAATATTTTAAAAACATTAAAGGGTCTCAGACTTCTTTTGGGACCTTTTCATTATTATAAAAATAAAAAATAGGTATTGATCAAATCAATATGCACTGATACCCATGTTTGATATCATTGATATTTTAGTTCTTGATAACCTTAATAAAAATAACAATAAAATAGTATATTGTTTATATGTTAATAAATCAAGTGTTTTTAATAAAAAATATTTTATATATTGCTTGTCAAATTTACCATTTCAGACAAAATATAACAAAAATTTAAAAAAATAGGAAACCCTTATATATTCTTAATTCAATAATCGATTTGGAACAAGTAAAAACTAGAAGCAGTGCATACGCTTTATCACCATTATTTCCATCAAGTTTTCTTGAAGCAGTGCATACGCTTTACTCTATTATTACCTGAAACGAAGGCGATGGATATTTTGAATGCAAGTAGGAGTCTAGACTTCATACGCAGGTTACTTAATAGTTGAGTCCTTTTTGGATTCTTTTTTGTTTTACTTCCTAGTACCGAATTGCCGCCTGTAGCAATTAAGATGAAACTAACCCTCTTCTATCCTGCTCTTCTCCTCCTGAAATGAGGAGGAGAAGTTTTGTTTTACTTCCTATTAATGATAATGATGGCGTTTTCGGACCTATGAAATGAGTTTATTATGTATGAAGTTTTGTTTAGAATCATTCAGTATGAAGTTTCGAGTTGCATTTATATCATCCGCATGCAATGCCAAAGAAATACAATGGCAGTGTAAGAAGTCCATTGATCCCAATGGACTTCAAGGCCATGTAATGATGTAAATACTCATATTTTCATGCTTGCCAATAAAGCTAGTCTCTCGCCCAAGGACAGTACAATTCTGATGAACTCTAAGACATCTTGTTTAGGGATGTCAACAGGTTGGATTTGATATGAGTTTGCCTCAACCCGAACTTGAGTTAAAGCAACCCAACGGCCCAACCCTGCCCTGGATAAATCAAGAGGAGATACCGAACCCTTCCTGCCGCATCCCATAAATAATACACTTAAACCAAACCAAGCTTATATTTACAAATATTTCAATGCTACAATGTCAATGAGTGAGTTTAGTGTGGTTTTCACCTCAATCTGAACCGACCCAAAATCTAATTAAGGCTGACCCAACCCTAACCTGATATGATCGGGTTAGTATGAGTATACAACTTAACCCGGCCTACTGGCATCCCTAAATTTGTGTTTTAGCATATGCATAATGTAGTCAGAATGCCCTCCTTATTTTATTTTGCGTTGAGAATGTCCACACTCCACACAAATATTTATCAATGGGTATAAAGAGATGAAAAAGATCCAGATCCATCCCACCCTAAGCTCCCAATTATTTATTCATCTTCATTTTTCTTAATTCTCTCTTTCTTGCCGTATTCTTTTCTCTGTCGTTTCCAAAAGGAATGCCTGGTGTTACCAAAAGGAATGGCATGATTTGGCCACATCAAGAAGCTTTTGGTGGTGGGAGGGACCAAGTCAAAGTTTGGTGTTTTATTAACTTGTGATTATTAGGACAGCGAAGCCAAAAGAGCAGGTTGTCCAAGTGGTTTTAAGACCCTCAAAGGGGCCTGGTGAGTGCGATGCTATAGCTGGCTTTATAATTTATATATATATATATATATAATATATTTTTTTTTTTGTGGCTCACCAACTTTTTTTTGGTGTTGGAAAGAATAGCAATGAAGAATGACAGGTAGACTGGTTGTTTATACAGAGGCATAGTTCAAATTATCAGTATTATAAATAGCTTTAGAAAGACAATTTTAAAAGACGTATTGGAATATGAATACAGTGAGTACTTCAAATGGATATGAATATTATAGAGAACTGGAAACCTAAATAAATCTCACAAATGCGCTTGCGGGTTTGGGGGGTGTTCGACAACATGGTTTTGTTCTTAAAAACACTGATGTGATAGCTTTTGTTTTCAAAAGAAAATCATATGGCATGGTTCTTGAAGAGTTTTAAAAAGACAATTTTAAAAGAGGTATTGGGACATGAATACAGATACGGTGGAGTAATTCAGCAAAAACCCAAATAAATCTCACAACACACTCAAGTGTGGAGTAATAAATTCCAAGCAAAATAGGAGACAAAAGCAAGCAGTTGCATTTTTCATTTGTATGCAAAATACACAAGCTTCACCAATTAGTATGTAGAATGCATCCAGAATTAATTAATATATCACACACTTGAGTGAGTGTTGAACTTGTTCTTCTAAGTTAATATATGTGAGTATTCAATATCTAATGTTGTATTAAAGTTTAAGTTTCCAATACGAAGGAATAAAATGATGGAATGGGTCCAATGTATCAGGATTTAGTGGGTTTATTGCGCCCCTCGGCCTGAAAAACCAATAAATAAAAGCTGTAATGTATCCATACTTTGAGCCTAGCATTGATGCAAAAGACCCTCGTTTGCTTTGTGCCAAGCATGTGGAAGTTGGAAAGCAAAACCAATCAAGAATTTTCTAATTGTATTTTGTAGATAGAACTATTTACTTTATACAATTCTTACACACACAGACAGACAGCCATACAAATCTTATGATTATTATGTTAGAGAAATTAGTTATTAAATAGAAAAAAAGAATTCCCTTCTGGTCTTATAAAAAAAAAAAAAGGAATTAGAGAAAGCCATCCAACTACTATTTTCTTAATGTTGAATATACTCAAGCCGTGGAAGTATTATCACAAATAAATATTTCTTTAATGGGAGGTCCTGTACGGTTAGAAGAAAAAACATATGAAAGAATTAGTGAAAGAATGCCAATGCCAAGCTGTTTGGGCAGGTTTCAAGTCTTTGTGATGAACGGTTTATATTTGCTTCTGAAAGGAGATGAAGAAGAAACTGTCTAGCTCTGAGGTACATTGCATAAAAAGTTGGCAAGATTCTAGTCATGGTCTGAGAGGAATAAACAAATACTTGGTTGTGCATAGGTACAACTGGATATACATGTACTTTGGAATATTGGATTCTATAAATAATTAAACATTGCCAATTGCTTAGAATATTGAAATCTTTATGCTAATTATTTAACAACAAATGCTAGAACATTTACAAGTAGTTAACAAACAAAGTAGGTTTTCCACAAAAAAAAAGTGCATACAAAGAAGCATAGAGCTATTCTTGCATCTTTTCTTCATAAAAAGGACAGAGGTATCTAGATATTGGGTCAGTCTGGTATAAGAATAAGTGAACCCCAAGTTAATTTAATTAACAGGATAAATGCTATTATTCTACTACCACTTGATCACTATTTATTGTGACTAATCACCATTGATTCAAATGTTCAATACACCAAAACTTAAAAAAGAAAAGAACTCTGAGAAAAGAGCTACCAGTAGGGGATCCATATCAGCAACCTTGCAGCAAGCTGCTTATTATCATTGAATGAAATTGCCAGATGGCAATCATCAATCCAGTAGCTTTCTTTCTTTCTCTTGTTTAATGCAAAAGAGTTTGAATTGAAGTGAACAATCTTCCCATGGCATTCACAAAACCTAAATAAAGTGCAATTCTTGAGATCCAGAAATGACCGAACTCCAATACTGTTACGAACTTTCAGTCTGCAAATAACCCATAGTTTAATGGCTAAAAGCCTAAAAAGCTTGGGTTATTTTCTTCTGAAGGGAGAAGAATTGATAACTTTGTAGAATGGATAAACCGTGAACTTGTGCTCTAAAATGAGACGTGAAAGAAAGCTACAAGAAAATCATTTTACGAACAGGTGATCTTAATTCTAGTGGTGGTGGCGGTACACCAAGTATTAGCTGCCACCAACTAGAACTAGTAGTAGAAATTTAACACCCCTAACTAAATTCATCATTCACAGACAAGATCCCTAAACTCATGCCCGTCACTGTTACAGAATCTAAATTTAGGGTATTCTGGCTTCAATTTTGATTCTCTCTCTCTCAAATCAAATCAAATCACAATCCTATACCCCATACAGAACCTCCTATTGGTTTTTTTAGGTTAAAGAAGAAAAATGATCAGATTTAGAAATACATCAAATGGACAAAGATCTATGAGACACCACCAAATGAACAGGGCTAAAAAAACAGGCCAACCATTACATTAATCACCTACACTGCACCCAGCAAGCCCAGCAGCAAAGAACTTGGAAAGCCACTTCCAGCTCCAGGTCCAGATAACAAGCTGAAACCAAAATCAAATAGCTCCTTCCTTGTAACCTTTCTCCCGTCTTTACCTCTTGTCCTTGTTTGTTTCTGTAGATGAATGTTCTATCTCAGTCCTTCCTCCTCTCCATTTCCGGCATTCCACAACCACTCTTTCCAACCCATTTCTGCTGATTGAGGCAATAAGCTTCAACTTTTATCGTCGGAACACGGTGTCTGTGGCTCCCACCCGGCTGATACATAGACGATTCCTTTTACACCCGGTCGTCCTTTGTCTCTAGAATCCTTGTACATTTCTCTGTCCTTCCATCTTTGACTCCGGCCATTGGCCGTTGCCCAATGTGGGCGGCTTTAAATCTCCACACCTCTCGCTCCGTCGCTCTCACCCACCCATGTGTCTTCTTCAGACTATTCATGGTTTTCACCTTTTACTTCAGACCCAATTACAGACATCCCACTGTTTGACGATTCATGCCTGTATATTATCGTTTGACTCTTTGACTGAAAATAAAAGGGAATCAGGAAAAGCTGTGCAACTTCACGAAGAAAACGAGCCTTCCATTTGAAAACGTGCAATTTCTTACCAAGGAGAACCCAATTCCGATTTTACTTTGATTCCAATCGAGCCTTCCATTTTTAATTATGCTAGCTTTACTTTTCTTTTTTTATTTATTTATTTTGGTTGATATATTAAATTACTTGTTGATTTTTTTAATATAAATGCTGGGTAATTGCCGTTAATTCGGAGCAAAATACAAACAGATATGGAAGCAGCCTCTATTTGACCAGCAAGTTCTGCCTTCAGAAATTATGTAAAGTCTCCAGGAATCTGGTCAAATTTATATATGGAGGCTCTGCCTGCAACTTCCGTCATGTCTCTCCTCCCTCTCTTCCTATAACCTCTGCCGCTGTTTATCTTCTTTCTCGTATTCGAAACAAGCAGGAGACAGATAGAGATTGAGAGATGGGGTTGGGTAAAGATGACAAGTCGAGGCGGGGGATTTTGAGAGGGTTGAAGACTGTGTTTTTCTTGATTTCTATGCTGGTGTCTCTTCTTCTATTCTATGCTCCTGTTCTACTTGTTCTTGCCGATACGCTTCTCCCTTCTGCTATCCTCTCTGTTTCCCTCTCCCCTTCCTTTCTTTCATTTCGGTCTCTCTCGTATCATCTCAGTAACTACGACTTCCGGTACTCCCTCGTCGACATCCCCCTCATCTCCATCGTCAGGTCGCTCGTGATTATATGTAAGGATTAGCTAGCAGACAACCCAACTCCTGTTTTCTCGATTTGTATCGATTCGGCAGAGATTTATGATAAGAAAAACTAACTCTTTTCTGTTGTTATGTCTGTGCAGGTGTCTATAGCTTCTGTGACGGACCTCGGCTTTCTCGGGGGCCTTACCTGGGGATTACGGCGGTATGTTCATTTTTGTCTCTGGTGTTCGTTTCATTTAAGGCTTCCTACGTTTTTGCTGCTCCGATTCAGAATAGCCCAGCATACTTTCCAGCCGCTGAAATCGCCTTGTTCGCGTGCTCTCTGGCTTTGGCGGTCGGCCATATCGTCGTCTCTTACAGGATCAGCTGCCGCGAGAGACGAAAGTTGCTTGTCTATAAAATCGACGTCGAAGCTGTAAGACCTCTCTCTCTCTCTCTCTCTCTCTGGACTCTGGTGTAGGGGTATCAATTGAAAAAGAACTAAAAGGACTGGGGTATATTAGTCATTGAGAAATTCCTTACCATGGTCCACGTGGGGTGGATATTTAGCGGCACCGCACGGGGTGGCGATAATACCCGAGCAACCAGGGGAATCCCGATGGACACATATGGAAAAGGACAAAACAGGAGGCATTCATATTGACCAAATTGCCCCTGATGCATTGTCCTATTCAGCTTTCACCCCCGACAAATCAAGAGAGCATCGAATTGGACCGACGGGTCCCGCCTGACGAAACCAGGTCCATCGAGAACGAACCCCTCCGAATACCCAACTACTGCTGAGTGCTGACGGGCTGGCAGCCTGAAACTGAAAACATCCCCACTTCAGCCCCACAGATGGAGGTGTGCATCGTACGTGTAGAACATTAAGGGAATCTGGTTTTGGTTTTTGTGCGTGTGTGTGTGCGTTCGGGGAATCGAGTGGGGGGTGGCGTGAAAGAAATCTGATAGATTGAATTGGGCTTTCTTCATTTTTTTAGATTTTTGAAATTTGAAGAAAAGGAGAAGTACAAGACTTGACCTTGGATGGTTATATTGTGTGGCATGTACGCAGGTTTCCGCGTGTCAGAAAGGGTTCCCCATCTACCAAAAGCTTCTGCAACAAGAAAGAGTGAAGTGAAAAAACTGAAAAGCCAAGCACAAAAGTGTTTCCTTTTCTTTTCTTTTCTGCCCTGGTTGGGTTTTCAGGCATCATAATTCTTTCCACACTGGCCCAATTTACAAAGATGGCTTCTGAAAGTGGTAATTGATGGATGATGTTTCACTTCTAATGACCGTCACTCCTACAGCTCCTCCCCAGGAAAAGAGACGAGGTACCATTACCAAAAGGCAAACCAAATGGGAACCAACAAGTAATACAAGTGCAATGGATCCTATTTAATGTATGAACACAGAGGCTATGAAATGTAAATGGTCGGCTCTAAAGCATTTGGGCTTGAAAGAATCAAAGAATTATATTTATTTAATGTATATAATACATGTATTTATATTAAGAAAATTTACAATTGTTTGTAAAGGGGCTTGCATTCAAATCTCGCTTTTCAGTAACAGGCCAGGAGTTGGTGACTTTGGAGCTTGTACTTGTATAGACATACATTCAGTGCATCCATTAATTTAGTTCTGATAGTTATCCAAGTAGAAGAAGAAGACAAGGGCGGCCAACCCATGGGATAGGCAGGGCCAAGGCCAAGGCCAAGCCAAACAAATACGGGAGTTAGCTCCACCTCCACCACTGCTACTGCTGCCTGTACGATGAACATCGCACTTACCATGGTCATGCTTGGACAGAACAGAACAATGCCACAAGGTTGAGCCCCACGTTACCACTAAAAGCGGGATACACCCAAATCTGTGCAATGTGCGCTTCTTAGTACTTGTTACCATACCTTGCACACCCTCTCTTTTTCCTTTCTTTCAAACTTCTTATGTCGGTTTGATTAATATAAAACGGTCTTTTCCTATCAGTACTGCCAATTTATGCTGTGATTAGTATTATTGCTATTTTCTCAGACATCAACGACATGTAAAAGTAATTCCAGTTTCTGTGTATATTTTAAATTTTATATATGCCAGATAAGCAGCATAGCAAAAAATGTTGCAATAAACATCAAAATGATGTTTTTATCATATAAGTGACTCCGACAGAATCTAATGCATTTACCATTGCTTGAAAGGGCTTAAAACACTCAATTAAACAAGAAAAGATGAGGGAGAAAGCAAAATGCCTACAGGGTGCTGACATGATAGAAATGCCTTGGAGAAAAAACTCTGGTACCAAATACCATCTAAATCACACAAACTTGGGTGGTGTTAGAGAAAACGATTTTTCCAATGTTGCCCTTTGTTTTTGTTTTTGTTTTTGTTTTAAAAAACCAAAATACTCCATTAGCAAAAAAAAATAACTTAATGTTCCACTGTAATTTTATACTCCATCCCATTATATATGTGTTACTATTAAAAGTGGGAATGGGATCTATATTCTGGACTTTTTCTTGATTAAGATACCCCTATCATTAAATTTGGTCATTATGTAATATGCACTACCAATTTCAAGTTCAGTTTGTTCCCTCTTATTAAATTCCATATCTAAGGTATTAATTTCCATCCCCTTTCATTAAAACCTATATTTTTTTGGATTTTTTCTTGACTAAAATGTTCCTACTTTTGAATTTGGTTCTTCTCTAACTGTGAAGGTAGAAAATACTACTACTTTCCACTTTTTTGAATTCCATCTCATTGAATCCTAATTTAAGGCATAAGCTTTCATTCTTTCTCATTAAATCCTATATTTGAGGTGTTTTTGTTTTTCATCAATAAATTCTATTAATTAAATATATATCCAATAATTTTAACAATACAAAACTTATATTTAAAACAAGTCTGGATCTGTTCCCTACACCAACCTCACATGTCTCAACCACATATTTGGAATATCTTATGTACTGTGTTATTATTCATGGGAGATGTTCCCAACACATGGCAGGATGTGCCTGTAAGGTCAGTGTGAGGTGCGCTCTGTGAGGAACAAATCCCAATTCATCTAAAACCAACTTGAAAATGTGTCAAGGATATGTGTGGTAAACAAGAATTATTTTAGTAATTAATTACGAAAATGGAATAAAAATTTAAAGCCACCTAAGAATGAAATAATTTTCTTTCAAGTCAAATGGTTCAACCCATGATGTCATAATTATATAATAAAAACTTAAAAAATAGATAGAAATTAAAAATATAAAAAAGAAAAAATTGTAAAAAGATTCATGGACACCATGCTCTGATTATTCATCTTTGTTCCATGTGTTTTCATAATAAGGGTACTAAAATTATTATGGTTATTTGAAATTGTCAAGTGCAACACACAAACATTTACTAGTAAAAGCAAGTGACTGAATCGGCAATTAGCACGTCTCAGCAGCAAGAACTCATTGCCAGAAGCGGTTACAATAAGAAATGTTCTACAGAGGTCACATGCATAAATAGTTATTACACTGATATGGTCATATAACACAGATATGAAGATGCTTATTATACATTTCCCTTTACTAATATCATAGTTTATGGTTCGAGGGCAAAGTTAATAGAATCGCCTGAGACAGATCGTACTAGTGACATCAATTAGAGCGGATCCCACCCATGAATGTCCGTGGATCAGGGCAATTTCCAGTAAACTGAGCTTGAGAGAAGTCAAACCCTGGGTTCTGCCAAGAGAATGCAGTTACTGCAGTCGGTCAGTAGAAAGCCAGAGGAAGTATTCTCAAAATAGAACAGAAGGGGGAGGGGCTAACACAGGCTTCCAAAATCAAAGTGGAAAGAAAGCACATCATGGGAAGAATGGAATAAGAAAGACATTTTTTTTTTATGAATAATGGAATAAGAAAGACATTACATCATAAGATTTCAATAATAGTCTTGTTAGAATGCATGATAGGGAGAAATTCATCATTTACCTTACTGTTAAAGGAAAAAAATTTATAAGCTTGACTAGAACTTCTAAGACAAACAACAGCAAAATATAATGACAGTTGCATTTATAGTCATTTACAAGGTTACCTACAACCATAGGGATCTCATCCACCCTTTGCTAGGTTATAGAGCTTTAAACATAATGTAGAGGCAGCACTGAAGCCATTACAACAGATGCACCAAAATCAGAACAGATTACTTTTGGAAATAACAGATGCAGAAACTTTGACATAGTATGTCAAAGTTCATATTCTTTTCCCTAGATAAATTTTAACTTTGATAGTATTGGCTTAGGATAAAGCCACTAGAATCAGGTTGTACTTTGTTTAAGAACCTTGGATCAAATAAGGGCAAAGAATAGAATCATCTCCTTGTAGAGCTTTAGTCTCTTGAAACCAGCATTTCAATCCTGGTCAGAGACTGCCAAAAGCTGGTCTTTTGGGAAGTGGCATTGCTGCAGTCTAGACCTATGGTTGTACCATGCATATATATTGAATCATCATCATCATCATATAAACCTTGTCCCATATATATGGGGTCAGCTACATGAATCCTGTTCCACCATTCTGTTCTGTTCAATATCATATGCATTTTAAAACTACAGCCCCTTAAATCATTTCTCACTACTCCAGTTCATGTTCTTTTTGGTCTGCCCCTGGTTCTTCTAGCCTCTTCAATTTGTAACACACCAGTGCACCACTCCTCATCAATTCTATAGATGGTTGTCTTTGCATGCACAATAACCATCTTAGTCTACTTTTCCTCATTTTATCCCCTATTGAAGCTACTCCTATGTTTCTTCACGTAAGTTCGTTTATGATCCTATGCTTTCTAGTTTTCCCACACATCCATATCAAGTGGCGGTAGTCAACATTGACCTATCCTATCCTGGGACTCTGTGCAAGTAAAGTTGTAATCCATAAACCAATAAAGCCTTGTCTTGATGCTTGACCTAAGGCACCCTAATACTTATCCTATCCCTGGTATACGTATTCATATGAAGATATCAAACAAGTACCATGTAGCCCTCAGTCAATCCTCATAATGCCAGCCAAGCTACCAGATTGTCAACACTGCACTCACAACAATGAGTACCATTTCATTCTTTGTCCACCAGATGATAACTGAATTTCTACCAGACATGCACCATGGTCCAAATGTTGGTTAGCATGGTCATATTTCTTCTCTTGTATATCCTTCCCTTTTTTGAAGCAATGAAAGTAACCTTTTTCCTCAAAAAAAAAAAAAAGTTGGTTGGCATGGTTTCACTTCTGCGAATAAACTTGCAATGCTCCAAATCCATAAACCATCATTGCCACTACTAAAATCCTTGCATCACACCAACCCTGATATTTTTCCCTTAAATCTTTTAATAAATTAATGATTCTAAAAGAGAACCCAAAAGATAGGTTGTAAAACTTAAAATATACAAATGCTTTGTTTAAAAAAGTAACAACCTATTGATGTTAAATGTTTCAATTGTTTGTAAATATCACTTCAATATTTAAAATACTTAAATATCAGTAAATATATAAAATTAGGATATAGTCATAATTAAATTAATCTAAGCCCAAACTTAAGGTTTAAGACTTTGTATTAGGCTTGGATTGATCCTCATCCTAACCCAACCCACCCAAGTTGCATGTATCGTAACATTCGTAATTGGACTGAACCAAACCAAGTGCAACTCATGCATGCATTATTTTTGGGGATTTTTAACTATTTTTAGATAATATTGAATCTAAAGTAGCTATGAAGGATGGGCTACCCCCATTGTGTAGTTTTTAAGGTTGACTGGCCTAGCATAGCCCACACCTTAAGTGTAATAATATTTGTTTGGACCTATAGGCTTGCCCGTGTTAATTATAAAACTATGATTTTGTTAAAAAATATTTTTTATATTTCTATACAAATTTGTTATCTAAATATTATATAATAATATTTACCATATGCGCATATAACTTCCACGTTGAGATTATTACGGGTTGTTTAGCTTGGGCCCTATCCGCTAGAGCCATCATTGGACTTCGAAAGTTCGACACCCAATTAGACTTCGAATCTAATTATCCTAGATTTGGATGTTAGAACTTGCATCTGGTTAATAATTCGATTGGATGTGGATTTAACCCCATCCAATTTGATTAATCTAATAAAAAATTATTATTTTGTATATATAGTATAGTTATTGTATACACATAAATATTAATATATGCATTTATACTTTAAAATTCAAAATCCAACATAAGAATAAGGGCAATTTTCTTAAACTACCCTTATGGTTTAGCTAATTGACTAACTCTACTCTTACTGTTTAACTATTGTCTTAAAGTACGTCTACTGTTTCTGACAATTGACATTGTTGTTAAGTGGTAACGAAAAAATGAAATGTCAAATTTGCCCTCCACCATTCCTCAAATTTTCAAAATAAAACTCAAATGATGAAAAATTTCAGGAAGATAGTAATTAGATCGTTACTCCATCTCTGTCTCCATCTTCGTCTCCATTTCCGTCTTCGTCTCTGTTTTCCATTTCTGTTTCTGTCTCTGTCTTCGTCTCTGTCTCCATCTCCGCCTCCATCTTTGATTTCTATCTCCACCTCCATCTCTGTTTTCCGTCTTTGCCTCCATCTCCGTTTTTTGTCTCCGTCTTCGCCTCTGTCTTTGTTTTCCATTTCCGTTTTTCGTCTCCGTCACCACCTCCATCTCTATTTTCCATCTCCATCTCCGCCTCGTTCTCGTTTTCGTTTTCCGTCTCCATCTCTGGTATATAATAGAAAAACAGAGACCAAGGTTGTAGTCGACGTACGACAGAATGGCTAGATTTATGCCTTGTGAAATGTTGGAAGCTTGAGAAGCTTTGACAGCTATTTTTATTTTCTTTTTTGGTTTTTCTATTTCTTCTTTTCATGCGATGCTTTCTACGGCTGAGTCAGGATTTCGATAGCTTTGCTAGATCAAAGAGTATTGCTGTTGGAGATAAGTGGTTCTTTAGTTCCGGGTGTTGGTTGTTTGGGATTTAAGTTCAATTTAGCTGCTGCTTTGTCTTTCTGGCGTTTCCAGTTTAAGTGTGATTTGAATAGTTTTTGGAACTATTGTTTGTTTCTGATTGGTTGTTGGTTTGCCCAAACTGAAAAGAACATTTGCGACTATAAAAGGGTAAGTTAGGGATTTTTGAAAATTTAACAGTCATGTGATGTCATATGTGAACGGTTTATGACAGTGTTAACGGTATGGGAGGTTTTAGGCAATTGTCAAAAACAGTAGGGGTGGTGCAAGGCAATAATTAAACAGTAAGGGTAGAGTTAGTCAATTAGCTAAACCATAAGGGTAGTTTAAGAAATTTGCCCTAATAATAATCAGATGTGGATGCAAATCTAGAAATTTCATAATCGGATGTTGATGTGGATGTAGTTGGATTCAATTTGAATCTGATCCGTTTACAACCCTACTACCCACATTATGTGGGCTTGGTGCATCTTTAAGCTAGACCTAACCTAACTCAAAAAATAAATAAATAAATAAAGTTGCTTGAGCATAGAAATTTATAGATCTAATCGGGTTAGGCTAACTTATAAACAATTTGTTACTTTTTATTATTAATTTTAATTATCCTATCAATACTAATTTTTATTATTTTTTTATTTTATTAATTTTACAACCCTACTACTCGTATTATTTGCTTGAGCCCAAGGTTGGGCTAAGTTATAAATGGTCATCCCTAAGTAGGAGTCTTATGACTTAATTAATTTTTATATGGAATGCAAATGGTTTATTTTTATTATTTTTCATGATTGTTTACTTTTTATTATTAATTTTAATTATCTTATTAATATTAATTATATTCAAATAGAATTAAATTGTATTTTAGTTTTTTAATTTATAAACTAACAATTTTTATTAATTTCTTAACTTCTAATAGTTGCTAGATAAAAACTTGTTAAATTTCAATATTTTTATTAACTTTAGTAATTTTTATTAATTATAGTTATTAAATTTCAAATATCTGGAACCATTTTCGAAAATGGGTCAATACATACCCGTTTAACTTGTCTTCTTTGTCCGAGTGATAAAATGGGCTCTACATTTTAAAGTTTCATTGAAATTTATAAGTCTCTTGTGTAGTATAGGCACTCTACATAGTAAAGGTCTCAACTCATAAAATGAAAAGTTATCTAATACAAAGTCTCTTGTGTAGTATAGGCACTCTACATTGAAATTTTAAAGTTTCATTAAAATTTATAAGTCTCTTGTGTAGTCTTCTAATACAATATTAATTAATTAATTAAAATGCACTAATACAAAGTTATCTAATAAAATGAAAAGAATAAACAAAACAAAATACAACATTAGAAGATGGATTCTATTTGCAATATATCAAACCCATTTTAAATCATAATATTATTAAAACTATCAATTAATATTTTTTGTATTTAAATTTATTATTTTTACTAGTGTTTATTTAAGTTTTAAGTGGAATTGAAATGTTTTTAATTGTTACTAAGTTTTGTTAATATTTATTAGTTTTAAGTGGAAGTTTAGTGGATTTTTAAATTAATAATTTTTTAAAATAATGTTTTTATTTTTGTTGTTTTATGTTTGATTGTTTAACCTCAACCTACTTATATTATTTGATTTATTAACATTTTACTTTATTATGTTGTATTACTATTCCCACACACTCTCTCTCTTAAATGTCTTTTTTAAATGTAATTATAACATGTGTTAAAATAAGAGGCCTTGGAAAACCCAAAGGTCTCTCTCTCTCTCTAATAGTGTACAACTTTATTGATCTAATCAAAATAGACAATGATTACTTTTTTATATTTTAAAACAAAAGAAAGTAGGAAAAATGCAAAATATGGAGAAAATAGATAAAGATCTTCTCTCAAACGAGAGACATACTGACATGGACTGCCCGATTTTATTATATATTATATATATATAGAGAGAGAGAGAGAGAGAAAGAGAGAAGGTAATGCATTGTATTAAGATAAAAAACACAAAAACATCCCCACACTACACAGCAAGGATCTGCGGATAAACCATCTCCACCTGTATAAAAGTATTGCTCAAACATTACAAAAATAACTAATTAAAACTCAAAAAAGAGCTGTATGGTATATCTGTAAAATTTCTGTTCACTGAAACCCAAGAGTGAATTCTCCCCCATAATTCCTTTACAATTATATCTTCTGATTTCTCCAGAGTCCAGAGCTTCAAAAATCCTGCCGTTCCATCCATACAGTTCAAAAAATTGCCAAAGGAATCACTTTCCAAGCTACTCTCCCTTTTCCAATCAGTCCCTTCAAATGCCAATCAGTTAAAAGCTCCAGCGCAGATGTTGGAAACAAAAGTGTAGCCCAAACATGTCTACAACTTTGGCCCACAGCCTTCTAACAAAACAACAATGCAAAAATAAGTGGTCAACAGATTCCACTTCCTCATTATAGAAGATGCAGTTATTGCTATCAATTAGAACCTCCCCTTTTCAGTAGATTGTCTCAAATCAAGCATTTGTTAAGAGCGATCATCCACATGAGAAAAGCAACCTTCTTTGGAGCAGCTGTGCCCCAAACACTCTTCCAAGGAAAACTTCTCTCCCCCCTCTCTGCCAGCTTACTATAAAATGACTTAACTGAAAAGCTTCTATCCTTGAAGATGCAGTTATTGCTATCAATTAGAACCTCCCCTTTTCAGTAGATTGTCTCAAATCAAGCATTTGTTAAGAGYGATCATCCACATGAGAAAAGMAACCTTCTTTGGAGCAGCTGTGCCCCAAACACTCTTCCAAGGAAAACTTCTCTCCCCCCTCTCTGCCAGCTTACTATAAAATGACTTAACTGAAAAGCTTCTATCCTTGAAAGCATAAGTAGGTGGTGTTCAAAATAAAGAACCCAAACCTATACCAGAATCATGACAATTATGTATAAACGGTGTTTTTGAACTGCCCTTGACCTGGACAGCCAGATCGTTCGGCCCAGGATCCGTCCAGGCAACCAGTTCTGTTTCACCTTTAACCCGGTGCTTGGCCAAAAACCATTGATTTGGTCAGCAACCTGCTGCCCCAGGTGGTCGACCCGTTCAACATGTTCAACGGTTTTTGGCCTTTTTTTATTTTACTTATTTTTAATTTTTTAAGTTGGAACTGGTTGTCCGTTTGAACCGGACGGTCGAACCGTTGACTCGGAAACCGGTGGCCAGAGCGGTTCCGGTTCCAGGTCAGTTTTTAAAACCTTGTGTATAAAAATATTACTTTTCTCAAAATTTGTAATGCTTGATTGATTGCAACTTTGAAGTAATCTGGAAAATGTGGCCATTAGCTATTTTATGGAAGCACCATCCTCAAAAAGCTACTTGCATTGCCTATCAAAAAAAAATGCAACTTGCATCTACAGTCTACACAGAGACAAACAAATCACATCCTGGAATCTTATGAAATAATCTGATTTATTTCATTCAAACAATGAAAGGAACCATGGACTAAAGGATGAAGACCCCAGTACCTATCAAAGTTGTGGCCCAATAAAGCATGGCCTAAAAAACTAAAGGAGGACAAAACTAATCAGCATAGAAAAGTGTACAAAACAATTGCTATTAAGCGGAACTGCAGAAGTCCTCAAACAGAAAGGAAAACAATGATCCATGGAATCTTCCACCAATTTACATATAATCCATCCATTCTGAACCCACAAACCCCTGTAGTTGAAGTGGTTGATTGTAAACACCTTACAAAGAAGAACAAACCAGAAAAAAATGCTTCAGCAGAAGGAGGCACACAAAAATCCCAAATGCTATTGATGCCAGCCAAATAAATGACTTTTCTGGCAAGGGCTACAGTGTTCTACTACAAAACCTCTTTCAGACAATTGCATCCCATTGCTCCAGGTGCATAAGGATGACTTTCAATTTTGGGAACAAGAAGACATATTCAGTAATTTCTCTAATCAAAACCACTCTAAGGAAAATCAAACTCCAAATTACCAAGTCACCTTGCATTGAGAAGAGGATAAAGGTTCTTAAGCAAAGAATACTAGATATCCTCCAAACAATGGATTTTTAATCTATCTTACCATCTTAAATTCAGCTGAAAAAGAGAATTCATCATAAACTTCATGATACATTTGCAGAAAGCTGACTCTATAATAGGAATTAACCACTTTTGAAGCCCATCTATGAGCAAACTTCCTCATAACTGGCAGCATCTCCTTTATAAAAAGAGTCAACTCCCTCTCTACCTAAGAGAGATTTGTTCATGAGAAAACCCAGCCTCCTAAAGGGTTAAGAAGGAAAACCTACTTCACCACAGGACTTCAAAAATGAATTTTTATCCTCTTATCTTCCTTCCCACAAGAAGTCCCTTTAGCTAAAGCTTTAAGAGGGAAACTCCACCATAGGACTTAGTAATGAACTCTTCTCCTCATCTTCCTTCCTGCAAGAAGACCCTTTGGCCTGTTATCCTTCCTCTTATGGATTTGTTTTTCCCTGCACCTATAATATCAGATATGGGAAGGTAGTAGGAGACAATTTCTACTGACCCTTGTTTCTATGCACTTATCCCTAGAGTAAGCAAAAGACCAGATGCCTCTCAAGATGCAATCATCTTGTGATACTCACCAAGATTTTGGTCGTTAGGACAAGCGTGGATCAATGAGAGTATAAAGTTATAAACTAACATTTTGTTTTTTTTTTTATAATTGAGTGAAAAATCTATTAATGACCAGAGATGAGAGTCACAAGCAACCCAAGGAAAGGCACAAGATGCGACCTCTCCAAAAGACCTAATTACAGATTTTCAAATTCAACTAGAACAAGTTACAAAGTAGCCCATAAAAAGACCTTCCCTGGAAACCCCTTGTTTGGCTAATGAATCAGCCACAATATTTGCCGACCTGCTCACTCATTGAACATTAACTCTCATATTGCTAGTTAACCATTTCACTTTTTTGAGGAGGTCTCTATAGCCCCAAATGACAGAATCTGGGTTTAATAGCTACCCCACTACCACCTGAGAGTTGCTTTCAATTAGAAAACGTTCCACCCTAAGCTGGTTTGTAATCTGGATCCCCTGTACAGCATCTAGCATCTTTGCCCTTGTAGAGTCTCCCACTCCCACCGGTCTAGAAAATAAGGAAATAATGTTGCTGCCCTTATTGCTTAGCACGCCCCCTATACCCGAAGGTCCAGGATTACCCTGGCTGCTCCCAGCAAAGTTGACCTTAATGACACCCTATGGAGGAGGCTTCCACTCTACCACACTTCTATTCTTCCTAGTGGAGGTATTAGCCACTGCTAACCAATTTCTTCAAAGATCATCAAAGGAAGAGCTGGCAAATAGGATTAAGGTTTTCAGCCAACGGATTGCTCTTGTTAAGATATAATCCTTCACTTCAGAGAAACTGCTTGCCTTTTCTAAGAAAATTCTAGCATTCCTTTCCTCCCAAATAGTCCACAAGAAGCTGCCCTGATACATTTCCACATAATTTTCCCTCTTTTCATATGCCACCCAAATGTAGAGGAATTAAACAACTAACATTTTTGTTTATTTATCTTAAAGTACCTACGGTGATTGTTACTATCAAGGGTGAGAAGGAATCATAAGAAAAGGATCCACAAAATTCAATCCTCCAGCTTTATTTCCTATTCTTTTTTTCCTTAAAGTTCCTCTTGCATCCAACTGAAAAAAGTTCAATATTGGATAATAAGAATTCCAAGGAAGCTTAATTAGATTAATTGATAGAAAAACATAATAAGTGGATCACAGAACTAACCAAAATTGGCAACTTAAAGCTTTATTCAGAGAAGTACTGGACTAACCTCTTCTTGGAATCTCTGAAGCATAAGGCGCTTCTGTTCAAGATCAGCCGAGTACGGATCCAGTTGGCCCTGACCTGATATAGGAGAAGACCAAGTCTGACCTTTGTCTCTCTTCTGAAGTGTTATGTGCATTATATCATCCTCTGACCATAACCAAACAATATAAGTAAAGAGACGACCTCAATGGAAGGCCATATATGAAAAACCTGACTTAGCATCCTAGAAATGACAAGTATATAAGAACTACTAATTCTATTGCATGCCCAACACTGTAACAAAACACCCTCAAACAAAAAGGGGATAAGATACGAATACCTAGAGTCCAAAATGAAGAATCAGTCTTCACAGGACCCGTGAGATCGTGCTGAAGACAAAGAAATATAGACAATAGATCGTCTCAGTGAATTGTCAATGATCAATGGAATACATAGACAGATAGAGAGACAAAGATGGTTACATTAAGATAAGGAGAGTTGCCCTTGATCCCAACTTCAACATGCTTGGACTGTATCTTGCAGTAGAAGAGCTTCGTAGGAACGTTGGGCGGAAGAGTGATGTAAATATTGACCTCCTCGAGCGTTTGATCCCATTCAAAAACCTTTTGACCTGAGAAAGTCACAGCGAAATTATTGGAATTAGAACACTAGAAATGAATCAGGGGAACAAAAGCGAGGGCATCAGGGAGACCGTAGTAGGAAAGAAAAAAAAAATCTAAAAGGGGTCAGAGATAGATCGAGCCATAGAAACAAATAGGATTAACTCGGTTCGAATCGGAAAATTCTTTAATAAAATGCACTTTGCAAGAGAGAAAAGAAGAAGAAGAACTTAGTACCGCCTTGAACGAAGCTATGGCGCTTCTCTGGTGCCAACTTCTCCGCCATTCCTAGAGAGGGTCTGCTGGTTTTACAGCGTAAGAAGTGAAACTGTATCAATCGGTACCACTGGCGAGCGGCGGAAGAACTGTTAACAAACCAAGAGTTTGGATTCGTCGACTGCCTTATCCTGCACGAAAGGGGACCGGAATTCCGGAAAGAGAAAGGGAATAGAAGCCGAAGTCCATAGTCTCGCGCCACCGGTGCCAACGACAGCGAGTTGCAACTGCAAGTTGTTGTTTCCGGATCCAGTACATTTGGACCCGAAAGGAATTATCCCTGTGAATCCACCCATTTTTAGGACACGTCATCAACATAAAGCAAGATTTGCAAGAAAAGGCAAACCGGTTGACATGGTCATGGTCGGTAGAGCTGTCAATGGATCGGGTCTGTTCGGGACAGGGCGTTTCAGTCCCGAATCAATTATTATTCGGTGCTCCATCACAGACCCAGCACCGTCCCATCACAGGCCCGATTATACTTTGAGGTTTACAATCACTATGCGTCTGTTTGGCATCGTTGCCGTTGCTCCAAAACACGGCACCACAGCAGCGCCACGTTGGAAAAAAAATGCTCCACGAAACAGGTTTTTGTTTAGAACCGTTTTTTCATAAAAAACAGTGCTTCAAGCCATGCGTCCGAAATTGGGAAGGCTTGGCTTGGAGCAATGCCAATTTTGGTGTTTCTTGGAGATGCAGCTCCTTGTAGTCAATAGGGGTGTGAGGTGGCAGTAATGTGGCACTGGATAATGGGTACTAGTGCTGAAAACATTTCCTGAAACATTGGTACCAAACAGAAAAAGTTGCTATTGCTCCACGAAATGTCCTACCTGGCAGCAACTATTCCAAAAAAAAAAAAAAGACAGCGCTTTCTCACAAAACAGTGCTTCCAACCCACACATCAGTAGAAAATGGTGTTGCATCTGCAGCATTAATGTGCAAACATATACATATGTTTGGGTTGAAAGCACCATTTTCTGAGAAAAAATGGTGTCTTCTTTTGTGTAGGACATTTTTTGGAGCAACAACAATGTTTTCTATTTGGTACCAATGCTCCAGGAAACATTTTCAGCACTGGTACCCATTATCCAGTGCCACATCACTGCCACCTCACATCCCTATTGGCAACAATGAGCTACAACTCTAGGAAATGCCAAATTCAGCATTGCTCCAAGCCATGCCTTCCCGACTTCCAAGGCTTGACCTGGAGCACCGTTTTTTATGGAAAAACGGTTCCAAACAAACGCTTGTTTCCTGAAGCACCATTTTTTTTTCGATGTGGCACTGATGTGGCATCATTTTCTAGAGCATCGGTAGTGATGCCAAACAGATGCTATGTATATGTTTGGCATCAATGTTGCAGATACAACACTGCTGATGTTGGGTTGCAAAGCATCGTTTTCTAAGAAAATGATGTCTTTTTTTCTATTTGGAAACATTGCTGCTAGGTAGGACGTTTCTTGGAGCATCAACAACACTTTTTGTTTGGTACTAATTTTCCATATCTGTTTTCAGCATTGGTACCCATTATAGGAAGTTCATGTCACTACCACATCATGTCCTCATTGGCATCAACGAGTTGCAATATGAGAAAACGTCAAATTCGGCGTTGCTCCAAACCACACCTTCTCGATTTCCAAGGCGCAGCTTGGAGAACCGTTTTGCTTTTTTTTTTTGGAAAAACGGTTCCAAACATATTGGCGTTTCATAGAGCACCATTTTTCCGACATGGTGTTGATGTGTCACCATTTTTTGGAGCAACAACATTAATGCCAAACATACGCTATAAAAACTAGCAAAGGGGCCCTTTGCAAGGGTAAAACATGATGGTAGGTGGCTAAGTTAAATTATTATATAGGAAAAAAATTGCAAAAGGTAAAATTTTTAATTAAAAGTTTATTAGAAAAAATCTATTTAAATTAAATAATAATTTATGGATAATAATATATTTAATTTAATAAAACAAAACAATAAATAAATAATTATGGCCATTGGGCAATAGAGTGAAAGAGGGAGAGATGACTTTTGTCATTGTATTTTTGTTTTATATAGTGGGATAATTATAAATAGTTAAATAATAATTAATTTAATAAATAAATAAATTTATAAAATAAATGAGATAAATAGACAATCAAGTAAGAGAGTAAATATATACACGATTCTATGTCTTACTTTGCTAGCAATAATAAAACTTTATGTATTATCAACACAATATTGGTAAAGGCTATCTCAAATTATTTAATTAATTAATTTAGCATTGTTAATTAGTTGGGCTGAACTACTAGGCTATTGAGCCCATGAACAGGCTTAGCCTAGTTCGTAGCCCGGCCTGGCCTAAGACTTGGCCTACAGACCAGCCTAGTATGTGGCATGATACGGGCCCATGTAGGCTCGAGCTAAAATAAAAATTTAATATATTCTTTAATTTTTGTCAATTTTTTAATTTATGTTAAAAATTTTCATTATTTTTTTTTCAAAATAAAAAAAAACATGGCTTAGCCTGGTTCGTGGCTCGACACGGGCCCATGCAACCTCAGGTTGCATATTATATACAATAATTATATAATATATTAATATATATAATTTTATTATATTATTTCATATCTAAACAATTGTATACATAAAAATTCATATAAAATAAAATTTTAAGATCTTTTTAAAATTTTTGTCTATTTATTTTAATTTATGTAAAAATTTGCATTATATTTTTCAAAAATTAAAAAAAACATGGCTTAGCCCGGTTCGTAGCCCAACCTAGTCTAAGACTTGGCCCATGGCACGGCATGAGACTACGCGAGCTCAGACCGTATATTATATACAATAATTTATTATATTATTTTATTTTATTATCGCATATATAGACAATTGTACACATCAAAATTCATATAAAATAAAATTTTAAGATCTTTTTTTATTTTTTATCTATTTTTTTTAATTTATGTCAACTTTTTCATTATATTTTTCAAAATTTTTAGAAAACATGGATTAGCCCAATTCGTGGCCCAGCTTAGCCTAAGACTTGGCCTACGAACCAACACAACACAGGCTTGTGCGAGCTCAGGCTGAGGGCTATGTTGGGTCAACCCCCTAAAGTATCATAGGGGAGGGAAGTACGGCTCAACACAGCCCGATTGTAAATAAAATGAGAGATAAGACAAATTTTTAACAAATATTAAAAAGGTAGAGATTTAGTGGCACCATTATAAATAATTATATGTTTAGTATTAAAAATGAAAGAGGAAAAGGAGAAAGGACAAGTTATGATTGTTTTTTTGTTTTATTCAATGGCATCATTATAATTAATTAAATTTGTAATGGTAATGGTTAAAAGCATGAAAAGGAAAAGATTATAAGATTTCATTTAAGTTATATAAAAAAAATTCCATTTGGCAAATGCACAGTATAACCTTTTGCTTTTAGGTTATATATAAAATAACAATTTAAAATTTTATTTTTAATAATATAATCTTAATAAAAATGATTTTGTTGATAAAATAAGTATTTTTAATCAAAATTGTCTTATATGAAATTTATAAAACTTACCCTTTTTGATATAAAATATAAAAATTACAACCTTTACATATTATTAATTAAATAATTGGTTCATGTTTGAATTGGTTCAAAATAATAAGAAACAATCTGATCCATCGGTTTGGTTGATTAAGTTGTATTAAACAGACCTGACCCATTGATAGCTCTAATGGTCAGTTTCCTCTAGTGAAAGATTATCTTTCAAAATAAAATTATAAAAAGTGGAAGCATTTTAAGATGTAGGACCAACCTTGAAAAGTTGGAACACTTTGAGAAGTTTAGGTTTGAAGTTATTTTTTAGTTTCGATAAATTTCTTAAACTACTCTTACTATTTGCAAAATTGACTAACTGTACTCTTATTATTTATATATTATCTTAAAGTACCCTTACCGTATTTAAAGTACTCTTGCTGTATTTCAGCGACAAACTATGTATGCTTCTTGATGAAGGGAAATTTGGCCCGACCTCGCAATCGCCCGACACGTGGCAAAGGCAAACAATTCAGGACAGTAGAGCGCCCGAAGCGAACATCGGAAGCAAGTCCAAGCTCGCTACCGAGCCCGAACTCCAGACCGCTCTACTAGGAGTCCGAGCTCCCTACCAAGGGTCTGAGCTCCCTACTGGGAGTCTGAGCTCCCTATTAAGAGCAAGCTCCCTATTAAGGGTCCGAGCTCCCTAATAAGAACCTGAGCTCCCTACTGGGAGCCCGAGCTCCCTATTAAGAGCGAGCTCCCTATTGAGTCCGAGCTCCTTATTAAGAGCGAGCTCCCTACTGGGAGTCCGAGCTCCCTATTAAGAGCGAGCTCCCTACTGAGAACCCGAGCTCCCTGCAAGGAGCACACTATACTGGGCCCCAAGCCTCACAAAGTTGTGACCCGAGCTGGCCCATGGCAGCTCGGAACACTCCCCAAACCGAACTCAAGACACCTCGCTCGCCACTCCAACACTTCGCTTCTGAAACACCAGGCTGACCAAACGTACCTGACACCAAGGACGTCCGTATCCAAGGGCGACGCACCTGACTGATTTGGGAT